AACAACAACAACACTTCAACAGCAGCAAAACACTTACATCGAACATCACCACCTCGCCATACGTCTCGAAATAGGCTTTCACGGTCTGCTCGGACGCCTTATACGATATGCCCAACACGATCAGATCCACACAAACCGCACCAGCTCTCTCGTGCTCCACTGTCATATCCCCCCCTCCACTAGCACTATCACTCGTAGTCACATCCACACTACTATCAAAGCGTTTCTGTTTCGAACCACCCCCACTAAAGCCCCGTCCTTCTGTGCCATCATCACTTATGCCGTCATCTTCGTCCATCAATTTTTTTCGTTTCGGATTATTCGCTTCACCTGACATTTAATGCTTTCATAATATGCCTCTGCCATGCTGCCTGCTCTCTCTCGCCTCACTTGCGTACGTACTTCTAACCATATCTCTTTAAATTCACTGAATTTCTCTGTACGTACGCATGCAAGCAAACGAGCCTTTCCTTTCATCTCTTCATATTAAAACCAACCTCACATACTTCCTTCTACCTCCACCTTCACAAATTCACTCTTACTCGTACGCTTTCCTCCATTCCATTCACTATTATATCCTCCTCACTCAAACTCTTTCAAAAAACGTACGTCACTCGTCGTCTACATTCCCATATCCTATATCCATCAGCACATACCAAAATCACCACCCCAACTGCCACCTCTAAATCTCANAATATCACGTAGAACACCTTGTCGGCCCAACCTCCGCTGGGTGGCATAAACCTCGTTCCGCTTGAATCAACCCTTAACTCATCATCATCATGCAAACATCATCAACACCATCAACCATCACACAAACAAACAAACAAAGCAAAAAGCTTACAAAAGCGCTCGTGATGCTCCCGTTTGTGGATTCTTGTACTTTAGACCCTGTGCGCCTGGGTAGGCATGTGTCAGGGTTGACAGCCCCAGAGAGCCATCCTCTGGCTGCGTCGGCAACTCCATACGATCCGTCGTCGGATCGTCGTTTTCGGCCACTAGCACATAATCGATGATCGCCGCCGATTCCTTTGCAGATGCTGCTGCCGCTGCTGCAGATTCTGCTTTCGCGCATTTCACCTGAAATTCCCCACAATCAATAACATCAAACAACAACAATGCATGATAAGAACCAAAAAGCAAATTTAAAAAAAAAAGAAACTGCAGCAGCCAAAGTGCAAACCAACCTCCATCGGCGTTTCACTCGATTGCACCGTGCCAGCAGCAGCAGCAGCAGCGGTTGAATTAACGTTCTCACTCTCCATTGCTGTGTTTGTAGAATAAGCCGGATTTATTTTGCCGGATATCACCACANAAAAAAAAAGAAACTGCAGCAGCCAAAGTGCAAACCAACCTCCATCGGCGTTTCACTCGATTGCACCGTGCCAGCAGCAGCAGCGGTTGAATTAACGTTCTCACTCTCCATTGCTGTGTTTGTAGAATAAGCCGGATTTATTTTGCCGGATACTACCACAACTATTCCTGTTAATCACGTGATTGCTGACTCGATTGCGGACACGATATGACAAGAGTATTGTCGCGTTTAGTCATCAAAATTTATTTTGATAACTCGACGCGACAAAAAAAAATTATTTTGATAACAGAACGCGGCAATAATCTTATTCACGCAAATAACACATATCACAAAACTGTGTGATCATTTCATTGGAAAAACAATATCAATATCGATACAAAAAATTACGTTGATACTCGAAAATATTGAAAAATACACTATATTTTCGGCGAGTATCAACCTAATTTTGAAATTTTGATCTGAATCAATAACCAGAAAACCAAGAAGCAGAAATTCCCTCTAATTAACTCTAAGCAAATGGCCTGAAATTAAAACAAAACAGACGTTGCAAACTGCGTTCCAACAGACGCACGCGTTACTATTGCGAATCGTTAAAAGTTCATTACGAGATCATTTCACTATCGTGGCAATGAGAGCAAATAATATGACGAATAAATAAATAAATAAATACAAATGTTTCAAACAATGCCCTTTGTGGCTTCGATCACCTAAATCAAGTACCATGAAGCACGAAAGGAAAAGACGCTAATTGTAAACATGACGGGGCTGATGTGAAAACCTACGACTGCATCAAGACTATTGCTCAAGAACACTTGAAATTAACACGTTTCAATGAGGAATGAATCCGACATTCAAATTAATTAATTAAAAAACAACAGTTTTGTGAGTCTCTAAAGTGATTCAAACTGCTTTAATAGGCATCAGATCGGGGTAACCTGACAAAGAGAGGGAGCAGAATACGGATTACTACGAAAAATATCACAATACAACTTATAAATACACCATAATTATCATTAATTAATTAAAATTACAATTAAAACTGAAAGAAAACCGCTGCCGCACGGCAGCACGCACCGACGCGTCTCGGCTCACTGCCAACAATCGGGCGGCACGGGGGATTTGCCGAGTGAAAAGTGCGAAAAGTGAGGGGTCGGCAAAACGCTTTTTTGCCTACGTGCAGATACGGATTTTAAGCTGAAACTCGACCAGCAGTGAAGCATTTTGGATTTTGATTTCGGTGAGGATTTGGGACACATTTCCGGATATTCCGGACGGATACAGCATCGATTTAGTGCATTCTCCGCAGAATTATAGGCAAAAACCCCCCAAAATTTTGCCCCTCATTTGAAAGTGCGCTTATAGGATCTCGCAGCGAAAAGCGACTACCTGCAAACCCGCGCGAATTTAAATGTTGGCGTCCATCTACTTTCATGCAAAACCCTACACTATCTATGCATCTCGAATCGTGCTCGGCAAGATATCTGCTGCTACTGTTTACTTAAAAATACTTTAATCTTCTTGATACTTCGTGATATGTTTGTATATTGTTGCTGTATTATCACCGTTGTTATTTTTGTGTCCAATGTTATCATTTCATTCTGTTTATTGCTGCTAGTAGTGTCAGTATCGTGTGTGAATAAATAAACTAGTGAATGCGGTTCTTCAAGTTGATACAACGAAGAAGTAATAATGATAGAACAATAAAGGTTACGCACAGTACTCATTACAACTCATTACAAAATGTATTGATGTGGACAAAGACATTTACAGCCATATTAAATCAATTGCGAAATGAGCTAGCTCGAGAAGGCCAGCCGGCCACCTCAGCAAATTATTCGACACTCGAATGTAGTGAGTGCATCTAGAGACTGCCGTAGGCATTGCCGAATTGATTTCCAAAATGAGACGGTTGTTAAGCTCCTCGCTGCGGTTTTGCTTTTTTGCGTTTGTTACCGTCCAGGTTTCGAAGTTAATATTTTCGAAATGGAGTGTGCAAGCTCACATTACATGTTATTCGTAAGTCATTTGGAATGTTGCTGGCTAGATCACCTAATAACTGATTGCTGATTCGTTGTGATCAAAAAGCTGTTTTAAAGGTTGCTTTACTTCTTGATCACAGTTGATTTCACTCAGTAAAACTAAGCATAAAGTGTAAAACGCTGAGATTAGTCTCGGTCTCAATTTAAAACATGAACGACGACTATAACGCTCGAAATGGATAAAATAATGGCAGATTCTTTGGTGAATTCGCGCAGAACGGAGAATTCCGCATGGTGGAACGAATGCAGGCGGTGCAATGCGAAGAGAATACGACCAATTGTTTTTTGGAAGTGAGTGATCAGAGACAATTACCGATCAGATCACCAACAACATTTGAATTCGCGCGTTTTTCTTTCGCTCTAAGAACCTACGAAAGTAAATAGACGCCAATATTTGAAAATCACGCGCCAGTTTCAAAAATCCCGCAGCTTCACACCCACGCCTCTGCCGAAATCCCGTCAACTCGACGTTGTGACCGTTTAAAATTAAAATGTTTTGAAAAATGATGGGTAGCGCCGAATCTAAAACCTTTTTTTTTCGTCAGATATATCGACTCGAGGCTCAAACATGGTTCAATGGACAGTGCGATGATCTNGCTGTCAGGCGTATGTCAATCAATTTTTGGTTCTGCCAATGCACTAAGATTTCTATTCCTCCAGAATTCATTCCTTTTTCAGTACACTCCACGGTGGTGACCGTTGCTGTTGCACACAGAACCGATGTAATTTCGATAGAATCCTGGCCGAACGACCCACCTTCCAAAAATATCTACCGAACGAGTATCAAGAGGACGTTTTGGCGCGTGATGAGGAGGATAATCTTGGCGAGACTGCGCAACAGTGTGGCAAGAAACCCAAGCAAAAAGGCAAACTTGCATCGCGTTAAAAAATTGATTGAAAGCAGCTTCATGATCTGGGTGATTTCTTGAAAACTACAGCTTACGTTACCCCGATCAGATCTATGATTACTGGCGGCGTATGATCGCGAACAGAGTAATAAGAACATAATGAATGAATAATATTATTGTTCAATATCCCTACTACTAGTACAATTTAAAGCATAAAACCGCTTACTAATTGCATCAACAAAAGACAAAATCGCGAACAGAAACCAATAAATGACACCACACTCTCGTGAACATAATATCACTACCAAATGACATAATCACAACACAATCCATCACACAAACAAACAGTAAATACTCTGCTCTCCACCGAACAGACCGTATGTGCTGCGGCAATCTCGCTCAAATAATCAAATCCATTTAAAATGTTTTATTGTTTAACATCTGCACTTTCAAACAACACTCATAATATTCATAACAATGGTAATAATAATAATAATAATGATCATGATAATAATGAAAATGACCATGTCAACTCAATATTTATTATATTATAACTTCTGGCCACTCGGATGCAACTCATCTAAAAATCCTCATTCAAAATTCACAATTTCGCACCTAACTACTTCAGTGCTTCAGCTCACCACCTCCAAAGAATACAACCTCAACAACAAATTACACACTCCCAGAAAACACTCCTCAAAATTCAAGCAAAACCTAGTCTTTCCCCTCAGTCTGCTACGCTCTCTACTGTGCACCAAGCGCCGGAAAAGCGTCGGGTGATACCTCGAAGACCATCGCGTGGCTGCTTTGTCTGCTTGCCGGTCCTCCGCCACCACCCATGCCGCGGCCTCGTGCGCCGCCTCCACGCCCTCGCTGGTATCCAACACCGCCCGGGCCACCACGTCCACCACGACCACCGCGTTGCTCGTCCGTAAAGTTGATTTCGATGTCCAAACGCTTCGTGCGAGGTTCACGACGCTACAAAACA